AGCTTGAGTATGATTGTGTTTGGATCGCTGGAGCGTTTCTCGAGTGCGCCATTACAACTTAATTAGTTTAAATTGTTGGAACGTCCGATGGCTCAAAGAGCTTGAGCCGCCATTGTGACTACTAAAGCAAAGAAGGAGAGAGCGACAAACAGAGAGAGAGAGAGAGAGAGAGAGAGAAATGATTTGAGGCAATTTCCGGTGAAAGAGAAGCGCTGCACATCTAAGCAAATGCACTTGAATATTTAAGTGGCTTGCCAACACTGTTCCCGTTTAGACATTTCACTTTCGCACACTGGCTGGCCCCTGGCCAATTGCATGCCATGAACTTGCATTTCGCCGCACCATAACCTCAAATTGAGCGCCAGTGCGCAACAATTATGACAAGTCAGATCTGATCTAGTGTCAACAATGAAATTGCTGAAAATATCAAACACAATGTGTGTAAATAAAGCACATGAGTTGCGACAAAAATGTATTTCAGAGAAGCTGCGACATGAATGAACGACAACTAATTAACATATATGTGTGCATGTACATATCTGTGTTTGTGTAATCCTTAGAGCCAGTTTTGGGTCAATTGGCTAATTGAATTACTTCAGAAATTATGCAATTCTCAACTAGTTTTGGCAATAGCCTGCCGCATCTTGTTAGGCTGCAGCCGTTGAGAGGCTTTGTAGCATAAAACACTTGAAAGCGATACGATTATGCAGCAGAATATGTGCGTCTGACCGGGCCTCTGATGCACCCCCTCCACCACACTACTTGTCTGTCTGGGTCTGTCTGTTTGTTGTTGTTTTTGTCAGCATGTAAAAAATTTTCTTCTTTTTTTTTTTGTAAATTTGTAACGTAATGCTGACCAAGTAGAATTTTTTTTTTTTAACAATTTCTATGCTGCCCGAATTGAAGCAGACAGACGGACAGACAGCAGGGAGCAGAGTTTTGAATGTTGCACTACAACAGACAGGAAGGGGGCAGCAGACATATCCTCAATAGGTGCCGCTCGGGGCACCAGCTGTTTTATAATAATTTTCATCATTTCTGTTTTGTTGTTGTTGCATGTAGGCGAGGTCGTTACAATAAGTGGAACTTGTCTGCACTGCCCTTGAGTTCGTCTAGAACTACCAGAGAGAACGTCGAAAATGCGGGCAATTGAAATGAAAATTTGGAAACGGAAAATGCATTGGGCTTGTACGTAGTATTAGATTAATTAAAACAGTCTGTATTTAGAAATACAAGTGCTACGATTTTAGAGAATCTGCTAAATGAGAAAAGTATTTATTATCTGCATTATTTTCCGATTTTGTTTGCCATCAATTTGAATGCATCACATCACCTTTTGCAACATTATACTCAAATGAAACTTTTTTTAAATGTTCTAGTGTTGGAAACTGTCGTTGGCTTTGGACAAACACCAATCGAAAAGGAAGCGCGCGCGAGAATTTTCATTAGAAATTTACCATATTTAATTTGATTCGGGTTATTTTCTTCTATTAATTCTATAAATAACACGTTTTTTTGCAACACTTACATATATTGAACATATTTTGGTGCAACTGAACAAAATGAGCGAGTAGCTTACATCTGATTTGCAACACTATTCTTTTGACGCAACTGTACAAGTGTTGGAAAATGGATGAACGTAGGAACAAAGTGAGAGATTTTTAGATATACTACTGAAAAGGAAAAAATCTTTTATTTATTGACTAGAAAATATCAAATATATATTGTTTGTTATTCCTTTCCTATGAAATCTTCTTCTGTAGCAACATTTTCTAAGTCCTTCTGTAACTAACATCTCCTTTGCATCGTTCAGCAATGTTCTTTTGTCGCAACTGTACGAGTATTGGAAAATGGCTTTAGACTTAAAGTAACCAATCAAAATAGAACATTTTCTGCTTCTAGACATGTGTGAATGGCCGTTAGCTGTATCAGATTTCAGCTGTGGTCAATAAACCCGCGTAGCTTGGCAGCCCAAACTGATTGCATAATGGAATTTAAGCTACCATATTTATAGCCATAGGTGTATATGCGAAAGATCTATAACATAATTGAGAATAAGAGCATTTTTTCTGTTGTTTTGTGCCGCGTGCACAGTGTCAAGTCATGCTCCAAAAGTTGTCAACTGTGCGTAGTTGTATTATTCTAAGAAGTAAGATAAATAAAATAACACAAACTGGTTGAATTCCAACTGAATCAATGTAATCAGATTTGTGAGCAAACGATACGTTCAATGGATCGTTGAATCTCTGGGAGCGCAACCAGAAAATAAATATTAATAAAAACTGTACCAGAAAATATTAAAACGAAAAAAGAAAAAAAACTGAAGGAAAACAAACAGCATTGATTACAACCATCAAAAGGCGAGACCAAATCTCGGCACATGAGATCCAAGCAACTTAATTACGACAATGGATCCGTCGAGACATATGCCAATGACAAGGCGTTATGTGGCCAGGACAATGGCTAGCAACAGCTTCATTAGCAGCAGGATTCTGGCAAAATGGGAAAAAGGCGACAAAAGTTGAAATTAATGAAAAGTCGCTGACTTTAAAAACATAACACCTAAAAGATACCTGTGCGATCTTTTGACTCGGCAACTACAAAGAAGCAGAGAACTAGCCGAAAATTAACTATATGAGTAGTACAAGGAATAGTATCTATTGGTACGCTCAATTCATGTGCATGCACATTCAATAGATAGTTATGGCTGTAATTGAAGTGAAACAAAATTAAAGATACAAAAATGACTTTCATTTTAGTCGCTGGGCCAAAGCCAGAGCCAGAGCCAGAGCCAAACGCATGGAACAATAGATAATGCCGCATATCGCAGCAGCGGGCGCGGCGGCCCGGGCAAAGGGTCTGCTGTACACATTCAGATACGTACACGGTATTCCATGGGTAACACTCTGGGGAATTTGGATACGCATACGCATACAAACAAAAGCGTGTGAATGCGTGCCTCGAATCCGATATTAATCTGGCCATAGACCAACAGCATTGGCCAGAGCCAAACTTTTTCGGGGCGCGCATCAATGGATTTTTAATAAATGGCCAAAGAAAATAATAAATAGCAATTTGAGTCGAAAGTGTGCGACTAGCTAATACCCAGCCAACTCTGGCCTCAGCTCCACACTTTGTAAATTTCATAACTAAATAACTTTTGCATTTGTTGTTAGAGCTTTACAACATTTCCAGCTCATGAAGTTGAGATTTAAATGTAAAAGTCGTTGAATTTAAGAAAAAACTTTTGAAAGAAACTAAGATGCAAATTTTGCGATGCTAACTCGTAAAGTATCTTAAAAAAAAAAGAGGTCAAATGAAGTGCCAGGTAATCGATATTTATCGATGTTAAAGAGGCGGGGGGTTATCGGGGTTACTAAATCGTTGCCTTCATGCTCGATATAAACCGACTCGAGTGCTGATGGTGATCTGTGGTATAAATAGCACATTTTAAACCAGAGAATATGCCCTGCTTTGAAGCAAGTGTAGGGTATAAAAATTAATAACAAGAAGCAGCGTAAATGCCTATGAATAGCTAACGATATACGAAATACAAATACGGGACACGTTTGCTGACTTCCAGCTTATCGTGATGCTGTTGGTGGTGGTGCTGCTGCCGCTGCTGCTGGATTTTGGTGGTGGCTTTGAGACATCTTGCAAAATGGCTGCCAGGATATGCACAAGGGAGTATTAAGTGGAGAGTGAGAGGGGGGAGGGGGGGGGGTTAATTTCGGCACTCGATAAGCCTGTTCCATGGCAGCAAACAGGCAGAGCAAACGATACGAATATGTGGCCAGTAAGTTGGGTGGTTTTAGCCCACGGCCCTGGGTCTTATGTTATGTACAGCTTATAGGCCAAAGTTGAAATACATCTTATACAAACACACAGGCACACACACACACAAATATACAGCTGTGTATATGTATATTATATATGAGTGTAATTTTTGGCGAATCATGTTTCGTTCATTTTTCAAAAGAAAAATGTTGCATGCGACGGCGGCAGCTACTTTTACTGCCACTGGCTGTGCCACTGCCACTGCCAGAGCCAGAGCCACAGCCACAGCTCCCTTCTGCTTCCCGCTTCAGTTACAATTTCAATCCCAATCCGGGCCCGACTTGGGCTGTGTTAATAATAAAAGTTCGTGTGCGTGTCAAAGTTTGTTTGAAAGGCAGCCGCTTGGATATGAAATTGGGCGCGGTTCCAGGCAGATTAGCAGAGCAGCCAGCGAGGCCAGAGGCCGCCCCAATGGCAGCGGCTTTATCGATATCAGACAAATGGAGCATATGAAGGTGGAGAAATGTCGAGCTCAAGTCTGGATGCGGGCAAACGATGCCAACGCCAATGGGGTGGGGTGGTGTGGAGAAAAAGCTCATTTTTCTTTTAATTTTCGTGCCTGTCAACTCAAAATGCCTACATTCATTTATAAAAACGTCCCGAAAATACACGCTTCACAATGGCGTCGCTCAGCAGTGGTGCCCCTCCCTCTCCAGTAGCACTCCCCCCACCACACCGCCCTTTGCTATAACAGGCAGGATAATCCATTTTCGTTAATATAAAAGGGCAGCAGCAGCAGCAGCAGCTGGCAAATATTTTGGCAGGATTTAGCGCACTTAGTTTATATTAAAAAAGTGCCTTGTTACATTAAGAAATAAAAGTTTTAACAGTTAAAAGATATTCGTATACCCTAGAAAGATCCGATAGCATTTATTTGAAGACTTGAATGAAAGAAACCATGCTACAAGTGCGACCTGGCTAACTTATAATCCGCTTATCTCTGGCTTTTGAAAGGGAAATGTAATGCTAAAAAGATATAGCCCCAATTTTAATGTATCTCGGATAAGATAACACTGTCCATAAATCTTTCACGTTGTTTGTCTGCGCACAACTATAAAAAAAAAAACAACAACAATAACAACAACGTTCTTGTAATTAACCAGGGGGCTGACATAATCATAACTAGCAACTATGAATATAAGTATAAGATATATTTAGCTTACCAGTTTCATTATCAATCGTAAAGGGTATGCCATTCCATTCATTCGATAGTTCATCCAGGTCTTGCGGCGGCTTCTTCTCATCAATCGAAGGCTGTAAATGTTTTCCAGAGATTACTTAAGGTTTCAATTTAAATACCACACAGATTTAGTTAACCCAAAAGCTGAACAAAAGTTCTGATATAAGAATTGCCTAATAGTTCTTCAAGTGCCTATCAATAAATGTATCAGTAATCTAAGATTTTCTGTTAGGCTTTAAAATGTTAGTTATAGTTTGTAATGTAATGTCAAATAGAGACTATCTATAAATTTATCGATTAATTATACCATTTAAAGCTCAATAGCTTAAGGTTTCGATGCCTATCGATAATTTTATCGATAAACATGATCATTTAAAGCTCAATAAATGAAGTTTTTTGCCTTTGTAGCTTGAAAATGTTTCTTAGGATTTTAGAGTTAACATAACATTTATATGCCTATCGATAAACTTATCGATTAATATGACAAGTTAATAATTAAAGAACTCATGTTGGAAAATAAAAGTTTTAGCTTTTTTAGCTGAAAAATAAACCCATCTGAGATTAAATATTCCCATAATAAGCGAACATTTGCTAATCGATAAATGTATCGATAGGCAATCGCCTGAATATTATAAGGGATGCATTACCGCAAACTGCGTCTTAACGTTTAACTTTTTTGTTAACTGTGCAAAATTGTGAGTCACATGTCAATTTTGCAGCTACTTGCCTCATTTTGATGCAGATCTGCCAAGGCTTTCAACTTCTCGATATCATCGGTATCATCGGCATTCTTATCGGTCTCTTCGGGTTTTTTCTTCTTGCTCTCCGCCTCTTCAGCGCGCTGCTTAACAGCACTATTGCCACTGGCATAGGAGGCATTAATAATCTCCTCCTGATCAAGACTAAAGCCCAAATCGACATCCTGCTTGTAAAGTACCTCGGCTATTTCACTCTCCTGTAAGATATAATAATTAAGGGATTAGTAGACATTTAGAAAAGTTTTTCTATTTCAATAAATTGCGGGCACAAACGATATACATATAATTAATATTACTATAATAAACGTAAAGTCTTATTTACAAGACATTTTCCATAGATGAACACTTTCATATTTCTAGGCAGTTGTTGTTTTTTATTTGAATAGATAATATTTCAATTAATATTTTTGATAAAACACTTAAATTCCGTTGATTCACTTGGAATTTCAGTTTGTTTTTGCATTTGGCTAATTGGCTTGCGCTCTTTAATGTCGTCTTTTTGGGCCAGTTCCTAAAGAGAGACTGACTATGAATCAGAAATTACACGACTCTGCTCTTTAGCTATATATTTTTTCACATTTTCTAAGGCGCCTTTTGTTTTTTTTTTTCGCTGATAAGCCGTGTCTGTAGATAAAAACTACGTCAGCGGGCCCGACGGTCGAACCTCTGGCCTAAACTTACGAGCCAAGTGTTAAGGGCAAATACAAATTTATCAGATAAAATTAACTATGCCAATGCTCTTCAGAGCCAGTTATAGAGTATGGGCTCATAACAAAGAGCGAATTCTTATCAATTTTTCCCTCTCTCTTTCTGTCTTTCTCTTTATTTTTACAACAATCGAAACCTTATCGGCTACAATTCTTATATGTTGTGCTCAGAGACATTATACACTTAAAAAAAAGATGCATAAAAATTGGAAATAATTGCAGACACATTTTGTCTGATGTGAGTGCATATTGAAATATTTGCAAATTCATGCCGAAATTTTTGTGGCCTCAAATTAAAGCGTTAATGATGCATTATTAACGCTGGCCGTAGCCAGACTTTAGCCAAATTTTAATCCTTTTCCAGCCAGCAAGTCAAGCTGAAAAAGAATCAGAAGAAGATACAAAATCATATTCAGAGAACGAAAACTGGGCGTCTTAAGCCGGCAAAGCAACACGGAAATTCTGCACTGGACAGCAGGTAGTTGCAGGGTACTAGACGAGCCTGCTTGCTTGGTTTTGCGGGGATAATCACAGGGTAATGGCGCACATTAGAGCGCCGGGAGGCAACCGGGCAATGACACAACATAACATGAAAAAAAGACATTCAACCAAATCATGACATTAAATGCCATTGATGGCTTAATTAAAATGATTTTCCCTAGCATTTCCCTCTGCATACATATATATTTCTATTTCTGCACGCATTTTGTATTTCTTTCTTTTTTTTTTTTATTATTTAATTTTCCAAGCGACAGTTTTTTGTCTTCTTCCCTTCCATTCGCTTTTTTAATGAAATTGTTCGGACGCATTGTGAGGCTTTCTTGAACTTTTCTGCGCTATGTTGCACGTTCGTGAAACAAAAAGCAATCAATCATCGGCTCTGTTTTCATGTGTGTGTGTTTGTGCTCGGCTGTGTCTCTCTCTGTGTGTGTGTGTGTGTGTGGGACCACGCCTATCTCCTGGATTAGTCAGCAGTATCCGAGCGAGCATGGCGGCGGCATCATTGGTCTCCTCGGTCCAAAAAGGGCCGCCGCCGCCGACTGCTGCTTCTGAGCCCAATCAATTGCTGCCGCGCAACGCTGACAGCGACGCTGGCAGCGACGCGACTGCACCCTAGGGAGGATGAGTGTGTGTGTATGTGTGTGCCGGATTGGTCCCTTTTGAAACGGTGCACATGCTGCGCGTTGCGCATGTTCGTTAAAAATGAGCAATTAAACGAGTGACAGAGAGAGGAAGCGAGTAGTTGAGAAGTAGCGAGAAAGAGAGGGAGACAGTTGATAGGAGAGGGAGACAGGGAGCGGGCGGCTTGAGTGAGCCCTGCTGCTACTGCTGCTTATTAGGGATCTACTATCGTTCAGTTTCAGGGCGTGCAAGTAAACGACAGAACATTGCTTATCGCTAGAAGGCAAAGGAACTATTTCGGCCTTTAGCCGAAAGATGCAGGGTATGTGTATAAAAGTCAGTTAAAGAGAATTCTGCTCATCTTATAAATCTTAACCTAAGTCACACAGATAATCAAGTTTGATGAGCTTAAAGCTCAGCTTAGTTATGCAGTGCATTTGCCCTTAAGCTTTTCAGAATGTGCACATGTACAGTTACCAATACATAAAAAAGTAACAAGTAACAAAGTAACACTAACATTACCATGAACATTAACATTCAAATTAACATGAGCTCATTTCACCTTTCGCCAAGGTCATTTAAATACTCTCAAGAAAATGAATTTTTTTAAAGGAAAAACCCATTTTAGTTCTAAAGTTCTGACTAATACATACTTTTATTGAACACGAAATATAAGAGTGATACCCCATTGAAATAAAATTGTTATTGTTTAGAGCCTAGTACGTAACCGACCGATAAAGCTATCACAGATATTTATAGCCTTTTCAAAGGCCACTTAAGAAAAGTACGTGACGTTTTTGATGGAATCAAAAAATATGAATATATAAAGACTGTATAGATTTGCATGTTTGGACAAAAAGTCAGACTCAGAATCTATAAATAAATATTAATAAATATAGACTAAATAGATTTGTAAGTTTGGACAAAAAATTAGTATGCAAAACTGCGAGACTTATCTTGAAAATTTGCATAAATTTATATGAAAATTATGTGTGGCTAAAAATAAAGAAATTTATTACTTTTGCAACACTTAAAATAAGCTAATTCCAAACTTTATCTGTTAGGCCCATCAGGAAATGTTTATTATCTATAATAAAAACGCTTTGCCTTCTAGTTAGATTTATTTTCTCAAGTGTAAGATCGCAATCTTTGCCGATGTTTTGCAGAGATCATTTGCAAAAAACTATTTCACAACAGGCTGGCAGGCAGGCGGAAAGAGGCAACAAGTAGCACAGTTTAGCGATAAAGCCGTCAACTGATAAAAAACACATTTATAAAGTGCAATAGTCTATCGCTAAGAAGCACACACACACATGTATCTATGAGATTGAAATGTATCTGAATGACCTTGGATTCTGAATGTTGCAGTAATAAAATTGAATTGAATTTTATTCAAAATATCAAGACGGCCAAGACGACACGTGTGCCTCGACTATGTCGGAGCTGTTTGATAAATTGTGAATAATAAACGACATTTGTAAATCTGCATGTGTAGTCGACAGGGAGTCGACATTGATAAGGCCCTCTTGGCGGGCGATAAGGCGTCAGATTAGATTCTACTTGGAGAATAACAAATGTTTGGTAATCGTTTCGTGGTGGCAAGTTCGGTGTTAATCAATCAACATTTATGTGCATCAAAATATTGACACTTGCCGCATTTTGTTGCAACAATTAGTGGGCCATTAACAGAGCTAACCGCAAAAAGCCAAAAGGCGATCGAACGATTTTGTGGCAAGATAAATGTGTTTTTGATCCTCGGCTATTCTATGTGGCGGCAAATCACAAAAGTCTCAAGTGAAAGCAAATGTCGGTTGCGGTAGAAAGTGCAAAGGAAAAACATAAAAAAAAAATCAAGCAGAAGAAGAAGACGGAGAGCGACAACAAGGAAAGGAAAGGAAAGGCTCAGAGTTAAATGCTGCACTCAGTTGCCGACTAAGGCTAAAAGGTTGGCGAACGTCATTAATAAAGCCTCGTAAAGATTTTGATGACACCTGAACTGACAGCCGCACGAACGAGCCGAGCCAGATCACTTCAGTGCATTTTGTATCTGTGAGATACACACGGACAGGCGCAGGCGAGCGGCAAGTGTGGTGACTGTGGCGCATATTAATCATGTGCTCGTCAAGCCTTCAGTCAGCCAGTCAGTCAGTCAGGCCTCAGTCTGTGCCCACCAACAAAGCAAACTGCTAACTCAAGTGGCCAACTGCAGTTTGTATCTTATAGATACATATATATGTGTATCATAGATACACGTGCACATATTGCACAAGTATCCTGCGCATTTGCGGTTAAAAGCGACAACGCCCCAAAATTTTAATAACCGTTCATTTGTGTCATCTTTTGGACGCGGCATTCGATTGCGCTTTCATTATCAACATTTGCACTCAACACTCACACTCACGACTAGAGATGGGAGCGTGTCGCATTTAAACAATATCAATGGACTCGAAGTGGAGATACACGCATGACGGCACAACACGACTTTTGCAAAAGTTTATTTTATTTGGTCAATTATTTAAATATTTTTTTAAGACTTTTACTACTATATATTTATTCATTATTCGCTTTTAAAATTAATTCGAAAATCTTAATATAATATTTTATTTAAGCTCTTTTTGAATTGTTATTTATCTGATCCCGAATAATTCATGTTACATCGTGTCACGTTCAATGAAAAAAACGAAATGTGCCAAACTCTAACACAGCCAAGCCGCTCATCAATCGGCTTGACATCTGAACTTTGCCAGATGCACTCTCTTTCGCAGACACACACACACACATAAATATTTGCGCCTCTCTCTGTCACGCGGTAGCTGCTGTGGTGAGTCCGAGCGACGCCTAGTTAGCTGTGCTCGCCGACAGGGGGCAGCACAGTTTATGCACATTTGGCAAGCATAAGCCGTAATTAACGGTATTTAATTATGGAAATTAACAAGCGAGCACTGTGAGAAGCACATAAAGCAACGCGCACGGCAAAAATAAAAAAAACAAATAAAAAGGCGCCAGCGAGCAGAAAAAAAATTGTAAATTTTTATATTTATTATTTTATAATCGCCGCATATTTTGCAGTTTTTGCTCGTTGCGCCTGAGGGTAATTAGGTGGAAATGCAGCGTAATTACAGTCAAATGATTTTTCAATTTGCGTTTCTTTTTTTTTTTTTAGTTTTTTTTTTCTAGCACTTTGCCATGTGAATAGAAAGTTGACAATAGGTTTTAATAGGAATAAACACGAACCGCCAGATAAATGTGCATATGCTTGTACTCTTCATTGAGACACATGGTTTAAGTTTTAGTTTTCTTGTTGGTTTTTTAATAATTTGGTGCCTTCCAAAATAAATGTTGCCTTCCGACTGCGATACGTGTTTTAC